GATGTGCAGTCCCTGGTATGAGGAACGGGACCTCACGGTCGCAGGCCAGGCCTGCTGCTCGGAACGCAAATCGGGCAAGAGTGTTTCTGACAATATTGTGGCGATGTACGACGCCGTACCCATGCTTGCAATTGGCGGCGTGGTCTCCGCGCGCGTCCATTGCACGGCCGCAGTGAGAGCACGTTAGGGGGGAGCGGGAGTCGTCGTACACTGGCGTGTCCAGGTGGCGTCGGAGCATACAGGACCAGACCGCGCTTGATACTCTAGTAGTCAATGACGGGTGGGCGCAGATAAACGATGCTCCTCCTGGAGCGAGAAGGGAGTTATATCGAGCGCGTCGGCGGACTGAAGTTGCGCTATGATAAGAAGGATTTGGATGTTGATCCCAAGCCCTCTTTTCCCAATACATCCTCGAGAAAGCTCCGTGGAGTGCCTGAGATAGGGTAAAGTGTACTCGTTCAGGTCGACTCAATAAAGCTTCTGGTTCGAAGGGGCCCAAGTCGGAGTAAGTGGAGAGGATACCTCGAGTTCGGACCTCGGGGTTCAGTGACGCAAGCACATGCACCAGATGCTTGCGAGCCATCGAACGATAGAATGAAACACTTGGGTTTGAGGGCCCGTCTATTCGTATCGGGGCTGCTTCGAGGAGGCTAGCGGCGTGCGAGGCGTGCACAAAAGGAGCTAACGGCGTGAACCCATGACCACCGTGACGAAATGGGAGCCCAATTTGTACACATATAGACGAGGAGAGCGGAACATTATTGAATCGAGAGTATGCCGCACGTTGATCTTCATCAAACCGAAGGGCTGACGCCAGGGAAAGGCGGGGTGGAGTGAGCCGATACACGTGTTCAACGCGGCACACGGAGCCAGACAATCGGTGCAAATGGAAGCGTATCCGTGCATCAGGGATACTGTCGAGCAGCTTCAGAGAGTCAGAAACCGACTTGTTTTTGGTATCCAGATTGGTTCTGATAAAATCATCAGTACCGAGCGGGGCGCCTAAAATTACAATACCTCCCCCTGGCGAGACGGACAGGGGAAAAGAGCGGGTCAAGAGTTCGAGGAGGGGGGGCTGAGTTGTGGGCCAGAAGGCCCGACATTTGGAGACGTTCATGGAGAAGCCAATGCTGGGGCCAAAAATTTGAATTATTTTTAGCGCTTTCTTGACTTCTTGTATCGTGCCAATGAGGGTTCCGTCGTCAGCATACCATCTTTTGAGGAGGAGGTCGCAGTCCCTGCTGATGCGGCGGATGAGAGGTTGTACGGCCAAAGAGAACAGGAGCATGCCGGCGGGGTCTCCCTGCTGGGTGCCTTGCCGGCTTTTTAGCAGGGTTCGGGGACATGATGGCAGGACGAGGTCGGGTACAGTGCGTCCATAGATGAGGTTGAGAAAATGTGCAAGGCTTGGCGTTTCAATCGGCATCCGGTCGAGCATGGACTGTCGACTAAAGGTGTTAAACGCATTTGTGGCATCAACCGAGACGAGGACATATTGGGGATCGCGACCGTGCCTCGTCATGAGCATGCGACAGTCATGCACAATGGCGTCCATACCGGACGGGACGCCATTGGCAAGCTGTTCCGGGGACAGAAGGTCGCGTGTGTCATCGAGAGCGGCGGGTAGCAGGACCTTTGTGACTAGACGTCGAAGCGCCTGCCCCACGGCGATGGGTCTGATCTTGTCTGGTCTTGGTTGCAAAGGAATGAGGGTTGACGCGGCGAGTAGAGGAGCAGTGCTGTCAGGTATATCACCTCGGGCGAGACGGCGCACCAAGCGGGTCAGGACAGAGAGCCCTGTGACACCGGATTCTGGGCTCACTGTAGTGCGAGCGAGAAGTTGGAGCAGACGTGGCGAGAGGTGGTCGGGTCCAGCGGCGGAGCTGGGATTAAGGGATCGTGCGGCGCGCAGGACTTCGGTTTCTGTAATGTCTGGCGGTGGTGGAAGGGCGGTCGGTGGGAGCGCTTGTGTCGGGTGCACCGGGGAGGGGTGGAGGGTCTCGAGGGTGGTGCGCGTTGTTCTCTGCTGAAGGTCTGCTAATGGCTTGTCGGAGCGGTTTTGTTTGTTGAGACGAGCACGAATGGAAGTGTTAAAATAGGCATAATTTAACCCCCTGAATAGGGCAAGCCACGGTTCCTATTGTGTAGTTGGTTAGCACGCGAGACTCTGAATCTCGAAGCCTGGGTTCAAGTCCCAGTAGGAACTCAGCCTGGCACAGGTGTCAATTTTTTTGCCACGGGATTGCGTTGTTTCCTAGAATCAGGACTTCAACAGCAGCAGCCATTTATTTTGAGCGGATCCATCGTTCTCTTTAATTGGGAAATGTTTGAGAGCCATCTTCAAACCAAAGCAACAGTCTCAACGGGCCATGTGGGAATAGCCACAGCACCATAATTTTTTGCAGTTGGGCCGCTCTCCCACCTACCAAATGCATTCGCAGCCAAACCGGAGAAGGCAGATCCATCACACTGCGCTTCGTCTAACCCCCGTGCTGCGCCCACATGCCACCGCATCTTGTATGGAGTATGTCTGTGAAAAACTACTTGTGTTTTGTAGTTCTTTAAGCACCATGTTCTGTAATGTTTGCTGTAGAGCAAACGCCATCTCACTATTTAAAAAGAGGCTAACTACATCGATTTGCGAAAAGAATGACGTGAAATGGTGCTGCGTTGCAATGGAGATCACTTTTACCTCATATACGCAACTACTTCATGCCGCAGCCTAAAATCTATGGTGCTCACTTGTTTTTGATAGGTCTTATAGAAATACTCGGAATGAAGCACTGAATCACAAAATCCAATCGCGTTCCTTGCAATGCAAGCATCTCTGGGAAATATGCAAGTATCGCGAATCCCTGTCCATCGGCGGTACTTCTACGCCTAATCGTAGTAACCTTCCCTTCTCTGCACCGGTAGTTTTTGTGGCTTGAAACGGACACCTGATTTCGAACGTCCGGCTCGGATTATGTAGCACAAGTAATGCGTGTCTGCCTGCACGTGGATTGCGTTCTCCCAATGGGCCGCTCATTGCACGGACATGAACTTTTTGATATATCTTCCAGTATGCCTACACGTACTGTGTGCATTTTTGCAGCAAACAGGCTCATGTACATGTTTAACTGAGGTGCTGTGCCACTCGAGTCATGTCTTGTTTATTCTTTTTGGTTGCTGGCCTTGTCATTTTTACTAGGTACGATTACCTAGTACAAATGACAAGGAATTTGAAAAGTTGTGAGACCATCCTCTCGGGTACTTACAAATCCCAACTTAAAAGCTTCTTCGTGGTGGCTGGACTTCGTGGACCCTCTGGATGACTGCTGCACTCACTGAACACAGCACTACAGTATGTAGGAGACTTTGGGCACTACATGGTATCGGGGTTGCGACACGAGGAAGATATGATGGTCTGTCCGATGGCGAAGCACCACTAGTGACGGTACTTGATGTGGAGAAGAATGCACATGTGAAATCGCCGAATCCATCAGTGTTATGCCTGATCTCCCTTGTACAAGAGCCTATGAGTGTTTTCTCGCTCCCGTTCACGAATACCTCTTTAGACGTCATGTGTTCCAGTCTTAGAGCCAGCCAGCAATCCGCCCAAAGGCTAAGTTCGTACAAGGCATTTTGATTCTCGTAAGCAGGCAGCAGGTGCGGACGTTGCGTGCACATATGACGCAACCATTCATGATGCAGTGTAAGAGGCACCATATGACCAGAAGCCTCCATGTCACTTGAAATTCTCTCCATCACTGGCTGCAAGTAGCATTCTCCGACCACTCCTTGTAAATGGGAATGTACAAAACTGAGCTACGCATGGCTTCTGCTTTCGCTCTCAGCCGTTTCACCACATCCGTACAAAGAGGCCATGGACACTGGCAATGGATCCTTTTGAATCATGAATCAACTATCTCCTCTTTTATTCGATACAGGTGCGAAGCGATGCCTGCGCTGACTGAAAACGAAACCACTCATCGAAAATCGTATCAGAACTAATGTTACAAGAGATGCCCGTCGCTTTTTTGTATCTCCGTGCATGAATGTGCACGGCGCCATCTCACAAATGCCTTTAGTGGAAGCACATTTCACACCTGATGGTTCTTCTACTCGCTTGTTGATCGAACTATTGACTTTTATTTTTCGTTCCAAGTAAGTTTGATGAGCAGGGAGGTGAGTCTTGGTTCCAAGGCCTGGGCCGTGTTCTCAGTGGTTCAAAAGTGTAGTACTGACAATACTCAATGCAGACACACCATGGTTTTCTAGTACAATTTGCACAAGTTGAAGCACCTCTTCTTCTTAGTACCACCCATAGGGCCTAGATACTGTACGTAGGAGTACACGCATCAGTCTTCTTCTCTTTAGAGGAGAGAAGCTGAAACCAGTCTCAAGTCTCTGCATTTCCATTTTTGCTTTAGGAGCGATAGCATATCATACTCCTCATTGTGACTCCTAAAGCATTTTTGCTTTGATACATTGACTCCTAAAGCATTTTTGCTATGTTTACAATGTGACTCCTAAAGCATTTTTGCTTTAGGAGTCACAATGATATGCTATCGCTCCATATGGTGTCACAACAGGTTACACGCATTTTCGACATGAACGTGGCCTTCCTTCTTTGCTTATGTGTACAGCCTTCGGTTTCTTGCATCGAATGCAGTCTACTTTTGGCAATTTTTGATGACGAAACTTTTTTGATGTATGATTGGCTTGGCTGCAGGCAGCTAGTTCCCTGCTCAGTTGAGATACACATAAAGCTTGCATGAATAGTAGAGTTGAGACGGTATGCCATCGCACAATGCTCAACATACAAATACGGCGTGTACGAGCATCCAGTGTTTCTTTCCCAACTGTAGCACTCTGCAAGAGCCTTCTGCGCAAAGTGGAGCTCCAGTGTTGGTTGTGTCTGCGAGGTATGAGTGAGATGATGATGCTTACATGCACAATAAGAGCTCATTCGCAGAAACGACGTAAGCCGCATAGCAAACTCTTTTTCTGGACGTAAATGAACGATAAACACTTAAGGCGGTACCCACAATATTTACAAATAATCTTAACACGTCGTATCTGACCCCTATTGGCGTCACATTTCGCATCTCCTGGCAGTGAGACCACTCAACAAATCAATAATCTCGTCCTGAGGTCGATATGGATGCCTCCTTCTAATCATCTTGTAACATGCTCAGTAAGGGGCGCGACAACTATTTTAGGCCCAATATATCTGGTCCGAAAGCAGATGCGTGCACAAATTCTACTTGCCTTTGAAATCTTCGAACCACATCGAGATGAATGGGATAGCTGCTCATCCAGTGGCTCTGGGGCCAACTCGGCGGTGCGCCGACATACCTCAAGTCATGAAAGTTTGACGCAATATTGCTTGCAATGGTTTCGACAGCAGCGGCGTCCCACGGCGACCTGTCGTCGACCATGTCTTCGCCCTGTCGTTCTTTTCCGTAGTGACGGAACACATTCAGCTGAATGGCTGTGATGTCCTTCTCCTCGAAGCGCGCAAGAACAGCACTAGCGAGGGGCTTCCGCCGTCCTGATGTTGAATCAAGGGATACGAGCACAAATCCACATTGATTGGTGTCACTCTTTTCCCCTGGTGCTAACAGGAATTGCTCGTCGGCCTCACAAACGTTCAGAATTGAGACGGATGAGATGCCTGGCATTTTGGTTTCGAGAGAAATGCTAGGTTTGGAAGTTGCCCCGGGGTTGGCATGGTGCAAATTTCCTGGTGTTGCTGGCGTGGGGTGATCACTGTACAAGTCCGCTATATCTTCCCCTCTTGGTTGATCAACGAGCGGTGGAAATCTTCTGATGACCTTCTCATCTGGCTGGTCTTCACTATGTTTGTCCGCTGAGGCGGCTTTAGCGCGCATTACTTTGGCCAGCACCCATTCCCAGTCATCTACTTCGCCCTCAACAAGAGGTCCAAGCTTAGTGACAGTCGCATGAATATCTTTGACGTACGGAATCTTCCATCGCTGCCCTCTTACCCACATGCACCAAAACGCTTTTCTCCTAGAAGCCGCTACAGCGAACTTGGATATCGGAACTGTCGCAATGTCAAGCATTTCGCCTCTCTGCGACGTCCAAACGAAGACGTAGCGAGATGAGCTCTCGCAGAACGAATACGCCAAGTGCAATACAATGTCTGCACGCGCATCTACTTGGCCCAAGTGCTTTCCGACTCCAGATAGTACAATGGCGGGCTCATGGAGAAACGATGGTGAGAGGGCCACGCTTTGATCTATAAATGCATGAGGTAATGCTGCCGAGTTTGTCGGTGGGCTTCCGACGTTCTCCTCAGTTAATGTGCCCTTAGGAGACACTGGAGCAGCAGGGGGGGCCCCAGGAGATTCAGCGACGATATCTGGAGTCATAGGAGACATCAAATCGTCGGGCATAAGCGCTGTGCGCGCAATAACTCCTGCGACATCTCCGTCGATGAGCGATGTCCGCACCCGTTTCGACCGAATGGAAGAGAACACTGCAAACGAAACGGCTTTCATGAGTTGAGGTCGGAGAGATTTCTCAAGCAAACACCGAATTTGTACATGACCACAGAGCTGGCGATTCACAACTTCCCTCGGCAGCACGCGCACAGTGATGGACACAACACTCTTTGAAGCCGGAGAAGACCTCCATGGGGCTGGTGGTAGTGAGCCTCCTAATACATTTGATCCAAACATGGCGACTGTAGATGGGACTGTCCCAGGTATTGAACTCACCAAAGGGGCTACAGCTTTCAAAAGGGCAACATTTGCAGCCATGTCACCATTCTCGTAGGGCGACACGATATAAGCCACAATATTCGTGGCTACCCCACTTGCATTCTTCCTGTGCTCTCTTGTTACTGCGTCCAATTTCGTGCAGAGCCCTGTGATGGCTAGGTGGTACTGTTCAGCCATGGCCTTGTCCACATCACTCAATAGATCTGGGTTCTTCATTAGCCCTCTTGGATCCGGCTTAACCATCGAGTTGGAAATTAAGGTTACAGCATCAAACGGCATTGCTGAATGTCGACCAAATGAGCATTCTTCGTAAGCCGCGGAAAGGTCTCGAAGGAATAGTCTGACGTCGCTTTCCATGTCTTTCGGAGCGACTGCTACATATTCGACATTTTTCCGCTCACTGTAGGGTTCGAGCCCGGTCTTTTCCCATAGAGGAAGAACGCCGCTCGGGGTCTCGATCCAATCGTTGTTGTATCCAACGCACACGCGGGGACGCTCCAAGGGAAACACAGAAGAATTGCCCCCAAGTACGTCGTTCACTGAGAGGGGGCCGCGTATCTCCATGGCCGGTACTTCCTTGTGTAGGCTGCGCAGTTCAGCCGAGCAGCTTCCGAAAGCTCGGCTGGTATTCAGTATGCGGGGTAGGCCGTGGACGACACATCTCACGGTGGCTGACGACACGGTATTTTGACTCTCTTCTCTTGGTGCTGGGTCCTGCCGGCTACCCAACGCGAAAGCCTTCCTTTTCTGGGAAACTTTTTCGTCTCGGAAAAGGTCGAGTTCGCTCATGGAGAAAGCCTGCATTTCCAGAATTGTCAAAAGCGCGAGCATTTCTCTCTCGCGCTTCGCAACGGCAACAGGTAAGCTGACAGGAGAGGCCACTTGAGTAATTGGCTGTGACCTCGAAGCCGCAGAGTTCGGAGGCTTTATGTCCCCATCGTGCGATTCTGTCGATTTGGCACCCACATCCTCGCGAAGAGGCTCACCGGACTCGCTGTTTTCTGCAGCAGCTGACGGCGACTCTGATTCGTACGACACGGGAGAAAAGGACAGGGGTAGCAACTGGCTTGAAGCAAGAACCATACACGCGCTCACACAATCAACCGCAACCATGTCCACGATCTTGACCGAAGATGGTTCGCTCTTGCCGCTGTGTCCTTTTGCTTGCCAATCCGTGTGCCCAGTTGCATGAGCGCTGTGCTTTCGACTCTCTTCCACAATGTTTTCGGTCTTGCCGTTCGCATTCCTTCCTACCCCACTATAGATGTTGCTGTTGGTGGGGCGAGTCTCTTCATCTTCGCAATCAGAAGAGTCGCTGTCTTCACTGTCCGAAAGTGTTAATGTAGATTCTCGAGTGAATGGTTTCCCGGTCTTTCGCAGCCGCATAAACGCCTTCAGTTTTCTTCGCGGGATGTACATATCCATGAGACTCAGTCGGCTCGGCTCTGAATACGCCTTGCATGGCTTTTGCGGAGGTAGCCCATACAACGCGGTCGAGTTCGAAACGGTAGTAGATGGTGTGTAGCGGGTGGAATAAACGTCAGCCTTGCTCGGTACAAGCAACTTTCTCGCAATCAGCTTTGACCTCGTATGCCGCTTGCCGATTGCGCCAACCGGGCGCAGGCGCCCAAGCCGTCGCTCAACTAAGTCATCCTCAAAAATGCCGCTGAGTTCAGAATTCACAGCCTTGTTGTCGGGTCTTGACGCCATTACGCGCTGTTTGCGGAGAACGGAAAGGGCCATAGCCATCACGTCCTCAGAGAAGGCCGAGCGACCGGCACCCCGTCCGGTAGTAGTGCGCGTATCCTTGGGCGGCTTGTGCTCATCTGTATCAATTTCCATATCCGAATCTCGCACGAGCTTACTACCATCTGAGTTGGATTGCGAAAGGCTCGCATCTTGATCCGCAGAGCGACCTATGCTGTTGGTTTGCTCGGGCGGTAACGACCTCCCGGACACATCCGGCTCTGAAAGCGGGTTGTCTGTGCCTGGAAGTCGGTCATCAATGCTGTTTCCGAAAAACTTTGTTACATCATCATCAAAGGCTGTGAAATCAGTCATGTCCATGCCTGGACCACTATCAAAACCGCCTTGTTCACCCGATGTGTCACCATCCAACAAGAAAGCATCAAGACCTTCAGAACTTCCTGAACGTTTTGTTATGTTTGGTACAGGCGCTTCGGCAGAAACTTGTTTTTGATCATCTTCGGGTTGAGCTATGTTGCTACTCCTGTTAGCTTTCGTGTTAGATTCGGCGTCAGCTCCTGAAGTCTTGGTTCCAGCAGTCGGGCTATTGTGGGTCTCGGAAGTTGTATCGTTTTCCGTTTTGGTGTGTTTACCAACCTCGTCCTCATGGTGTTCAAACGACGGTGGTGGGATGCCATGTGCCAGTGGGTGATGCAAAACCGGGACTGGTTCTGCTTTCCCTTCCTTCCTCGCAAGCTCCAAAGCATCGTTGAGCGATTTCGCGGTTGGAGCGTCGGCGGCGAAGCGGTCGCGAAGCGTGGCGAGTGGGTCAAGCTGATGCGGTAGAGAACGAGATGCTGAGGTCTTCTCTGGCTTGGGTTCAGTCTTAACGTCCGCAGGCACATCGGACATAGCAGAGCCGGGGGAGCGTGGGCGCTTGCGAGAACGAGCGGGCGACTTGGGCTGGGCGGCCTTGGCGGTCGAATCTTGTTGTGACGCGTCAGCCGGTACAGAGTTTTGCGCGCCGTTCTTCGCGGCAGAGGAGGCAGACAATGCAGAGGAAGCGGAGGCCTGGGAGATGATAGACCTCGGGGGTTGCTCCGTGAGGACACATACCCTTGGAAACGGGACGTCATGGCCGTCGGACATTTTGAGGAAGACGACTGCATCATCCTCGAGATTTCCTGGTGGCAGGAGGCCTGCTTCACGCCAGCGGGCGATAACGGAGGCTGAAAGCGCATCACCGGCGATGGCGCGGGCGGCGAGGACGGCAGATGTCCCCAGCGGGGCAGCGAGGACGGGAATGTGCTCGCCAGCGAGGGCAGCCGCAGAATCCGGGTCTTGGAGATGGCGGGCGAGCGACTTGGACACGCGGAGACGCGCGACAACGGTAGGCTCGGCAGGGGAGAGGACCGACAGCGAGAACGAGTAGGCTAGGCCTGCCGAGGGGTGGATGAGGCGGTCACCGAGCACGCGAACGCCCTCGGAGCGCAGAGCGATGGGGATGGAGCGACGCAGAGCAGCGAGAAAGGCCTCGGTCGGCGCTGGGGGAGAAGAGGGGTGCCATACGCCGGTGTCGGCGATGGCGAAAACCGGAGCGAGAAGATCCTTAGAGCGGGCGAGGAGCGTGGCAGGAGCGAATACCCAGAGAGTTGGTTGGACAGAGGCGGCGGGGGAGGAGGAGCGGTGGTGCTTGGCGGAGGGGGCCGTAGATTTTGGGAGCGGGGTGGGGACGAGTAGGGCCGGAAGAGTGCCTGGGAGGGACTCTTGTAGGAGGGCGGCGGCAGCCGTGGGCAGAGCGAGGGAGGAGCCGAGGCCATGTTCGAGGTAGCGTGCCCGGGAGTGAAGCGGGGAGTTGAGGTGAGGGCGGGTGGGGGTGTGGGAGAAGCGGGCGTAGTGGATATTGGTGAGGTTGGAGAAAGTGATAGCGGAGACGGACACGTCCGGCGCGTAGGGATCGCGAGGCGGGGAAATCATGGCGGCAAGGCGGGTGGGGTGCAGGAGGTGAAGGGGGGATACGGGGGCGGGGGCCAGGTTAGATGAAGCCTGGGGAACG